AATGTAGATGCCAGTGGATTTCTCACACCTTTCTACCATGACAGATAATACGTGTGTGTGTGTATATACTTATATATATATACACATTATATATACACACACATGTATATTCCATATATTGTATGCCATGCATCTATCACATATGTATTTACTGTGTATATCACCTACAAGGGTACTTCAAAAAGTCCATGGAAAGACTCATATTATCTTCCAGTACTATTTTTCTACGAACTCATATAATGATTACCTGAGAAGCTTCTTGCCTCTGTATCAAGTGGCCTAGATCATTATATGATTCTGAGTACCAGCCACAGCACAACACCTGGGGCAGGAGGAGGTAAATATCACACTTACCCCCTTCCAAATTTTAACACCTCCTACCACTGCATCACTATCAATTCTACTGATGGGCTCCTGGGGAGGACTGATGTCCACATCTGGTGAAACATAAAACCCTGTGGACCATGGAATTGGCTCTGTGAATTCTGAAGTTCTGTGCCAGCAGTTCCCTTTGATTAGGTGAGAGGTGTTTGATGTGTTTCATTTTTGTCTCGAGTCCTGGGAATTCATAATGGGTATTACACATAGAACCATGCTTAGCCAAATATAATAAGTGTTGGAAACTATTAAATGACTCAAAGAATAATTGAATTCCTGTGTTTGCATCATGATGCTGACCCTAGTCACCTGGCCTTTGCAGAATTATGTCACTTCTCTGGGTTTTTGTTTCCTCATCTGTAAGACGAAGGGGCAGCTCTACAGCTTTCCTCAACTCCAGCTATGAACAGCTCGTGATTCTCCGGCTGCCTCTTCTGGGAGCATGTCACGGCTGCTCAGAGTTTCCTTCAGCCCAACATGAAAGGCCAGCCCACAGAGCCAGTGTTTCTCTCTGACGCCAGCACATCCCTTGGGACGCCGCTTCCCTGCAGCCCTCACAAGCCCAGGAGCTGGAGAAAGTGTGCTCGCTCTTCCACGCTACTGTTGGCAGGCAAATTCTCCTCCAATGTCCAAATCCCCATCAGCCTTTCTCGGAGTTGTCCTCCTGTCCACCCTGTTCTCACTACCCTCAGTGACTCAGGGACTCAGTCCTCTGAACTCCCCACTTCCAACAAAGACTGTCCTCCTGTCCACTCCAGCACCTGCTTCTAATGCCACACCTGGC